GGCCCATCCGCCTCTCCCTCCGCTTCCCTGCCCAGGAGTGCTTCAGGGCCAACGGCATCACCGGCCGCCGCCTCATCCTCGCGAACTGCTCCAACCTGCCCGCCATGGGCGTCACGGACCTCGGCCACATGCAGGTGCGGCCGGCTGCGGGTCCCGGGGCTTCCTCCTCAGCCCCTCGGGGCCCAGCGCTGACCCTTTCTGCTTGCAGGCAAGCTAGGCTATAGCCTGTGCGCGCGGGCAGCCTGAAACTGGACAACCAAATTTGTTCAGCCAAACGGTTCTATTTCTTGAGTCTTTTCAGGTATAAATCCGTAGGCAGCTGGAGATCGCAGACTTCCTCTCCTGTACCACAAGTGCATCAGAAGCACTTAGCCTTTCTTTAAGCCTATGTTGCTCCTCTTGCCCCATGAAACTGCTTTGCAAGATGCATGTGCCTTTATCGGATATCCCTCAGAATTCCTTTTCAGTAATTTTCCACTGACTGATTTGTAGAACTTCTAAAAATCTAGTCAGATTTAACCTGCAGCAATTGAGCGACCCATCTCAGCAGCAGAAGGGCAACTCCTTATTACTTCCTTGTTTTACACTTTGGTCTCTTCCTCATTTATAAACATGTAATTGCCTGGTCATTTTCCTTTCAAACCTACATCTTTTCTTTAACAAACACCGATAATTAAGCTAGCTAGACTGAAGTTCGGGGCTACAGCCTGGCCTTCCAAAGCTTCCTGAAGGTTCAGAACATAAGCAAGTTGACTTAAATTTCATTACCCTCCTTCCCTTCCCTAACGGAAACTGCAGAGGGACTCGAGGCTGCATTTACAGAGCCAAATTGTTTGTTTCGCATCATGATTTAAAGCTGCTTTCCCCAGAGGACACAAGGTAGAAGTTCAAATAACCAGGAAGAGAGAAAAATCTTTATGCTCCAATGACTGGAGTATGCACACTGTTTTATTCTAGAGGACCAACAAGCAATTTCACCACAGTTCTGTCTGGCTGCACAATCTTAACTGTTTGAAATGAAATATGCCACCAAAAACATGGACTAGTGCCATGACTTTGCCTGTTGTTTGGAGGAGAAGGCATCAAATAACAACGCTTAGTTTTTCAGGCAGCAGAGCCCTTCAAGAACATATCTAGTACAAGCAGATGCAGCCTTTGTAGTCACTGGCACTTACCAGAGATGGCAAGAATTTTGCAGGCTTTGTAAGCCTCACCCTCACATTGGGATATAGGGATTATGTATGGTGATAGTTTAACTGCTGAGCAACGCTAAGCCGCGGGTTAGAGATATCAGCTGTAACCCATTCCTCCTGCTGTAGAAACAAATTCCTCAGGGCTAGGATAAGTGACAGCCAGCATACTGCAGCAAGCTCAGAAACAAGACTCTCTCTGTAACATTTTCCAAAGCTTGCAAGTGAATTGGGAACATCTCACAGACCAGATGTTCCTGAAGGTCATGCCCTATCCTGCTAGTTTCTTGTGTTTGGGAGAACTTTACCCTGATAGAATCCAAGTGTGCAGAGCCCTGAGCAGGATGCAGCCCTTTGGGTCTTTCAGGAAGCATGTACTAGAGTAGGTGCAAAGTTAAGGCCATAATCCCAGGCACATCAGCTTCTCAACAAGAAATATTAATGAAAAGCTGTGAATGGTCGAAACCAAGATAGTTACTATAGAAATAAATGTGATAGCATCAGCTCAGTGAGATAGAAACTTTTTGCAATTTAGGGGAAATGGCAGTTTGGTAGAGAACTACACAGTGAATTATGTAGAAGCTATGCAACGTGAACAAGTGAAGTTACTGGTGGTTTTAATTCTACTGTATTACTGTATGTAATTTTACATATTAAAACCACTGAAGATACTAGTCTGGTGTTCTTCTGGTATCTCGCAGAGTAGGGTACTGCTCCTCATAGTTAAGCCAAAGTTGGGGGAAGGTTTTGAGCTAATGCTGGGAAAGATCAGTAACAGCTTGTGAATTGTATTTTGAAGCTTCAGCCAAATCAGAAGGTTACGCTCTCAGAAGTGACTTCAAAAATAATGGCAAGGCTCTGTTCACTGACAATTCCTGGTCCCACTGGCTCAGACATCCAGTCACCCATCATTTTCTTAATGAGCAATATGGCTTATTGGTTTAATTAGCTTTTATATTGACAGTATAACTTAGCAAACAGCAATGCTTTTGCATTAGGCAGAATCGACTCCAGCTTATTCACCCATAACTTGTTCGTTCTGCAAGTGCAAAGAGGAAAGCAGAGCTATTTGTGCCACTAAGAGACCAGATGTGATGCCATCCCCCCCAGTATATCTGGAGAATGAGCAGTCTGCTCTGCTTTTACAATGTCACATGGGGCTCATGGGTTCAGATCCCTATCGAGTTGCAACTTCAAGCGTGAAGCTGTTCCAAAATGCAGAGACCGAGTTCTTTTTCCTGCTGCTGTGACACAGAATGAATGGTAATAGATGTTGCCCCGTGAAATGAGAATTTCTGGTATTTTGTCTTGTATTTCAGGAGATTTCACGACACGTGCGAGAGTTGCTGGGGACGGAGGAGCCTCTCTTCAACAGATCCATTGCCCTCCCATACAGAGACAACATGGGTCTCTTCCTGGAGCGAAAGTCCCGATCCGGAAAAAAAGCAGATGCCCTCACTTTCTCACAGTTTATCCAAGAAGCAGGACTGGAGCCTTATACTACAGTTTCTCCTTTGCAACAAGCCCAGACTGGGGTAGCAGCAGACGCTCTCCTTGTACTGCAGGGCACCCAGAAGCAGGATTAGAGACTCACACTGCACTTCCACCTTTGTAAGAAGCCCAGCAGGGACAGCAGAATATACTGTGATTACCTTGCAGTTTGTCCAAGGAGGTACAGTTCCACCTGGTCTCAATTATAGAAAAGGCCATTGCAGCTCTCAGCCATTTGGTGACAGCAAATGCGTCCCCACATTGGCTCTTTTCTGCAATCCTTTGGTTGCTTCCAGGAACTAAGTGATGCAGAAGCTATAAATCAGTCTGTACCACTGTCTGTCTTTCAATTCTGCTTCACAGTTGATTAAAAAGACCAAAAAACAATCATAGGCATATTTTAATTACCAGTGATTGATAACTTCCTTGCAGCTCAAGTGAACAGGTTTCTCCCAGGCTTTCATGTCTGCAGACTGGGGTCACTGTAAGGCCCAGATGCAAGATAAATGGCAGGTACAATAAGTGATATACAGGTGTGGTGCCAGCAGCTGTTGGCAATCCTAATTAAGTGAGGGGCCTAGTTACAACAACAGAACTAATCTCTGGCTTCACCACAGAAACAATTTCCTGTGAAGCAAAACCAGGTAGTGGTTTATCACAGCAAACAGTACTGAAACACATGATAGATGACAGCAGGAAGTATAAGTGAATACTGTAAGATGAACTAGAGAATTTAGGGAATAAAAAATGCTTTGTTCTGGGTGGGTTTGGACAGAATATCCAGTTACCTCCTTTTTCCTTGAAAGAAGTATTGTGTAGTCTGTGGTGGTGGTGGGTTGCATTATCACCAGCAAGGAAGTATCAACAAGTGCTGATTAAAGCCTGGCTCAACAGAAAGAGTGCTCCTGACTAAATCATTACTATTTTGTCTGGCATCAACAGCTTCCTTGAGACACCCCATGGAAAAATTAAAAAAAAAAAAAAAAAAGGACTGGCCCCAATCCTGTTTATTTATTTATGTCAAAGCTGTAGCCACGCCCAAATAACTGTAATTTGGTTTCATAATTTAGTTTTCTATTGAAACTGCAACAAAAACCTAGTGAAATTGAAGCAGTTCATAGGCCAAGATGACTATGTAATACACAAATTCAGACCAAAATAAAGCACAACTCAGGCAGCCAAGGAGAAGCAAGTTTGCAGAGCAGCCTAGAGAGTGAAACTCATAGAAGCAAATGTGTACGTAGGGTTATTGGCTGGAATATTTTAAAGAATCCAAGAGCAAATAGTGCTGGTTCTTGCACCCCTCAGTCCCATGAGGTGGCTGGGATCTCAGCAAAGCATTCTGCCATGGGCTTTTTTATAGTTTACGAGGATTTAGAATCATAGCAGTTTCCTCTGGAATTCCTGAGAAAATGTCAGAAGCAACTGTGGAGAATGGAGACTTGTCATCTGCCATCACACCAGGCTCCACTACAGCTGCAGTAAGAAATGTCTTGGTGCTGTGATCAGCCCACATTGCTTTGTAGATCAATCTCCAAGGGATGCCTGGTATAGCAGAGCAAGATGGCACCAGACAAGCTCACTCTTATCTGGCAGCTGGCTATAGGGAGACTTTCTCAGCTCTGCAGCTGCCAGGTCAAACCAGGGGAAAGTTCTGGGAAGAGAAAACAAGTGGAAACATTTATGGGCAATAACAGTCTGAAGCAGCTTGCTAAGAATTTAACAAATAATGGTTTTCTTCATTTCAATGGTTTCAAAGTGTGCTAGGCATTACTCTGCCAGGCGGAGCAAAACAGCCTAATGGCTCTAGAACAATGCTGCACAAGCAGGAGTCCTTTCTCTCAAGCAGCATTCCCCTGACTTAACATCCTCAATAGCCCAGTCCATGAACTGCCACAAGTTCATTACCCGTAAGAACTGTCCTCTCTACGTATTTCCATAGGAATTTGTTTTTCTACATCAAATGCCCCAGTCCAGATTGCTGGCTTCAGACAACCCTGATAAGGAGTCAAAAGAGGAATCAGGGACAGAATGACTCGGGGATAATAGTTAGGTTATTTTCCCTGCAGGACAAACAAAATCAAATGTCAGTTGCCAGTGTGCACACAGGTGTGAAGAGATATTCTCATCTCCCACTCTTGTGAACAATTGCACTGGCAGTCAATCAGAGCTGGTTTATTTGAACTCTCTGATCTAGGATCATTTTAGGTGAGGGATGCTGAAATTAATAGTAACAAGTCTAGTATAGCTTGTATTTTCTGTAGTTCATTCTCATCGAGTAAACAGCAGTCCTCTACAGGCTGCCATGTAACCATTCAGCCATCGTGGCACAGTGAGCACCGTAGCTGCTTTAAGAGCAGTCAGCAATGTGAGAATTAGAAGGGCACGCAGAAGCATATAAGGAAATTATGATGGACAGAGATAGCAGCTGGTGATAGGAACAGCATGAGCATGGAAATAGAAAGTGCACCTGAGGGAAAAGAAAAATGTTTTGGACCATGTCCTTACTCGGAAAGTACATCTTGGCTCCTTCTCACTGATTTAGCCTAAGAGCCAGTACTGTCTCACGAAGGGAAATAGCAGCTCTTCAGAAACTGGTGGCAGGTAGATGCAAAGCAGTGCTCCTGAAAGAAAGAGTGACCCCCGGGGTGCTCATCAGAGAAACTGGTGAAGGAGACATATGCTGCCCCATTTTGCCCATCCACTTCCCATGCATGAACACTCCCTTCCATGCATGCTGTTTCCACTCTACAGCTTTAGCTGTACAGTGGCAGGATTTCTCCGGGAAGGTTTTTTTCCCCACACTGCTCTCCTAACTGAGAAAATTATTGCCAGCCCAGACCCAGCCTTGAGTCATACAGGCAGGGGACACACCGAGCACAACTCCTCAGATGAACTACTACCAAGTTTAAGCCAAAAAAGAGCTTTTACCTAGGGAACTGCAGGGGCACATTGCCTGCACAGCAGCAGGATCTCGCAGCAGGTCTGGGACCATCCCCTTTGCCCCCCACTCACTGGTAGGCTCCTGCCCAGGGCGCTGGTGCTGCGGTCTCATGATGGCACGGCGGCAAAGGATCAGCTTCCACCTGAGAGCAGAGGCAGCCCAGACGAGTGTCAAGGGAGAGGATGCGCCTGGAGAGCCCGGGCCACACTGTAGTGGAGCAGGTGCCCAGAGGCAGCAGTGGCCACACAGCATGGGTGGGATTGTGAGGTTTTAAGGTCCTGCATGAGGAAAACTCAGAGGAAGCCACAGGGGATACCCCACTGCACCATCCATGGCTGAGTCAGCAGTTGCTGGGATTCATCCAATTAGCGTTTCTTACAATGACTCCTTTCCAACAGCCATCTTAACCAGCTAGCAAGGTTCTTCCTATCTGATGGGTCCTTGTTACCTTGCGTTAAAGTTAACCCATGGGCCTTAACACTGCCAGTTGAGAGATGGCCACAGTAGGATTGTTAATTTTGCCATGTTTAAAAAAAAAAAAAAGGTGGGGGTGTGTATAAAAATCATCCCTTGCACTTTCTTCCCCAGTGTGCGTAGGTCATACCACAACTGCAGCAGCACAGGAACCTGTTGAGGTCCAGGTCCCTCTGCACTGCAGACAGATTCCCTCAAGCAAGGTCTCTCTTTTTCTCTCCTCTCCAGCTGGATCCCCACTGCTTGTCTGCCCTCCCTCAGCCCTGCAAGCAACAGCCAGCACCACCCAGGTTTAGCTGATGGGAAGAAACTGGGCTTAGCTGGGAAGGAGGAGGAAGCAATTATCCTTTGCAGGATCTGCAAACCTTTTACTAGTAAACAGTCTGGCCCACAGCATGAAGAGCAGCATCACATTTGGCCCCTCACTGGTCACCTCAGCAGAAGGCCAGGACTAGCCTGACCACAGGGGCTGGGCACCCCCAGGGGTCAAGAGCAGGGGGTACAGGGCATACCCCTGCACTCAGAGCCCTCGGGAGAGCTACAGCAGCAGCTTAAAGTGAAATGTGATGCACTAGGTTTGCTTTTTTGATGGTAGGACTGCAGGCTGCTTCTTTGCACCTTGTTTCCTGCACTGCCTCACAACATCTTGCAGCAATAATCAGAGGCCCTGCCAGGAGCAGGGTTTCAATGCCAGCATTGTATTTGATCTGGAGCTCCCTTGACTCCTTTTGATTATGTTTTCAGGCTTATAGCCACAAAGGCTACAACTTCCTCTAGACGAACAGAAAGCTGAAACTCTAAAGTGTTCCTGTGATTTTAGCAGTTGGGGACTTGGGGAAGTGACCAACCTTGACAAGGTTTGCAATGACGTTTCACAATAAAATTGTGAGAGGCAATAAGAGCTGTGGTCCTGCGCAGCTCTGGCTCGGCCAGAGCATGCATGCTGTGCTTGCCCTGTGAGGTCCCAAATGATGGCAGCATGTCCAGGCTCTGAAGCGACATGGTCCATTTTACCTGAGGAGGGGGACGGCAGTGACAAGGCTGTACACAACGCAGGGTTTCTGGATGGCAGGCTGAACGACGGAGCAGACAGACAGCATGTGCGACAGGAGGCAGCAGAGGAATGCAATGTCCGCCCAGGCCACCAGCTGAGAGTTGTTGTAAAAGCACACGAGCCCCTGCTTCTGCAGGTCTGCTGCAAGAAGCAAGTAGGAAGGGACTCAAGAGCCCACAGAACCAGCACAGGTGACCGACCAGCACCTCTGGGCACCGGCAGTGCGGTTACCTGTGCTCTGCCACATGCAGGTGAAAGAAAAACTGCTGGTCCCAGACTGGGACCGCTGGCTGCCTGCCTGAAGTGGCACAGAGGGACTTTGGCTGCTGCCCATCACCATTCCCACGTGGCAAAGGGCAGCAGCAGGGTGACACAGAGCAGGCAGGCCCTCTGCCAGGAATGAACATGCAGAGAGCTCAGCTGCCTGGCCCTGGTTCACACAGGCTGATTTAAAGCCTCTAGCGGAAACGGCCGAGCCTTAGGATCTGGCTAATTTTCAAGATCTATAAAAAGCCATTTAATAATCCCTGCTTCCTCTCTGCCTTGAGATGATTAGAAAGAGGATTTTATTGTTCCAAGAATCTCCCTGGAGGACCCTTCTCCCCACTTGTCTTGTTTTATGTAAGAGTTTACGGGGCAGTTGACAGTTTGTATGCAAACAGTTGCTGTAAGGCTGCAGGCTGATCGTCTCTCCTGGCTGGGCATTCAGAGCCCAGCGGGAAGCTTGTCTGCTACAACTGACCCTGCAGCAAGGAAACAAGGAGAGGGATGTCTCCATTTCAGCACTGCTGCTCATCTGGGAAGACGTTTTCTGTGTTGGGTGAGTATTTAACAACCTGGAGTCTCAGTCACCGACCAGGCTCTTGGCAAACGACAAGGAGAATTTTGAAGAGCCACAAAAATGTGCGGGACTAAACTAAAACGGGCCTTAAACCAGCCAGCGTTCAAAGAACAGGGTTAATGTCTCTACCACACTCAGGTGGGACCGGTAAAAAAAAGCAAACAACTAAATTAACGTTTGGTGGACAGTGGGTTTCCAACCAAATAAAGATCTTTTCTACAACAGCATCCTCTGCTTTCCAATAAAAAACCTGGAGTTTCCATACCTTCAATATTTTCGGCAGAAAACCATTATTTAGTGAGTTCTGCCTGAAGTGCTATGAAAAAAGTCCACATAAGTGGAGTCCCACTTTCAGGTCCAGGCTGAGGAGCACTTACCCAGGCTCTCAGAAACACAGATACTGGGGTGCAGAGCCCAGCTCAGTGTCAGGAGCACTCAGACCAGCTGCTTCCCAAGGCAGCCCCCACCAATAATCCCAACCTTTGGGCCGTGGCTGTCCCCCAAGGGAGTCGCCAAACCCTTCTCAGTCCCACTCTGCCTGGGGAAGCAGAGAAGCTTGCATCAGCCAGCATGAGCCATGGTTTCCTCAGACCACGTGCGGTCCTACCCTTCCAGGCAGGTTCCCATGCCATGTGTAGAGATGGCACATCCCAGCCCCACTCCTTGCATCCAGCTCAACTCATGCCCCAGCTCTCCAATGGGCTTGCCAGAGAGGCAGAGGCTGATGGCTGCAGCCTGGCGTGCACAGCACCCATGGGGTCTGGGGCTAGACCCCGGGGAGCATGGCATCCCCATCCCAAAACACACCACCCATGCTGAGGCTAACTGGTCGCTAACTGTAAAGCAGCTCAGCAATTAAGAGTTGATACCTGGCAGACACATGGACCCCCGTGATGGCCAAGCTCAGGGACAAGTCAGCACAAGGAGGGTAGACTTGTGACAGCAGAGGCAGCTGCTGAGAAGGGATGTGGGACAGGACATGCTAGTGGAGGACGACTGGCTCATTATAAATCATACAGATGTGTGGCAGGAACAAGTCACAAGCATTGGGCACTACAAGGTTTCTGGGATGAAACCCTGATTTGGTGCTAGAGATAATCTCCATTCCCTGGTTTTCTCAGGGGAAAATTAGTCTGAGTGATGTTAGACTGACTGACGGAGAGTTTACACAAATGCAGATGATCAGTAACCAACAACCATGGGTATAAACAGTAGGTGAGTTTTTAATCACGCAGAACCAGGTAAAAAGCTAACAGACTATAGCATTGGGTAGGAACACCTATATAATGCTTAACTTCATACAGAGCTGGTGTGAACCACACAAGAAACTCCCGATAGAGACCAGCCACCTTCCCCAGTCCTCCCAGTGACACGTTCATGCTGTTTAGACCAGCACCAGAATGACCAGTGATGTGCCTGTGTCACATTTTATCTCAGTGAAGATGCAGTCGTTTGGGAAGAGCTTGGCACATCAAGGTTTCTCTCTGATGTGACTATGTCACCCAGCCAGCACATTTTACCAGCAGTGAGGAGCTCACTTCCGCTTTACCTGAGGTCACGGAGAAGTTTGCAGAAGACAATGGCATGGGTACACGTGTTCACTGCCAGCCTCTTGCAGCGCCTTGTCAGATGCATCAAAGCCTCCTCACCTTCTACTACTTCATCAGCCTGAGAGGAGTTGAAAGGCTCTGTAACGTCGCACATCTTCTCAGGGTTCAGCCCTTCTTAGGGTTTCTCCTTACTGACATGGCACCTGGGAAAGTGGCTGGTCCCCACGTACAACACAGCCACCGAGAACAAGATGCATCAGTGGACGTCTGAATCTGTGCTTTCTCTGACGCTACATTTTTCTATTACACAAGTCCCAGCTGGACTTTAAAGCCCAGCCACTCACAAGCTGCTGGCACAGCGCTCGGCACAGACTTCACTGGAGCTGCTCCTGGGCTGGAAGTAATGAGAAAATCAGACCCTTCAGCAAGTGGTTCAGTTTTCCAGTTCAAAGCTATTATTTCATTCGCCCTCAGCTTTCCTAGGCCAACACTGTGCCTCCTGCCCTCCCTGGCTGAGCAGCCTCTCAGCTCCTTCTCCCTGCATGCATTTGCTGTGAAGTCCCCATGTGGTGGCACAGCCACCTCAGCAGCATCCAGGTGTGGAAACCCTTGCCCAGGACCTGCATTATTGCTTGAATAGACCTGCAGGGATGCTTTCAGGGGTACAAGGCAATCGTCACAACAACAGTGACTATGACTAGCCCAGAAAGCTCTGAACACCAGAGCAGCTGGTTCCCTCCTTTGCTACGGAGATGGTGTTTCAGCCAGCAAAGGTGCTGGGGATTTAGAGGTGACCGGAGCAGCACCTCCCAGCCCTGCCTGCTTCAGCAGAGGACGGCTTGGTGCACCATTTAGCCTGACATGAGGCAAACGTACAGTGCTTTTGGCCAAAGCAGGATGATGCTGAGCTATCTGAATTACTTGTGTCCCCTGACAGAACCCAGAGCACGCTTCAGTGTATAACAAACCTGCACTGGAAACGGAGAGAGGCAAAAACCAGCCTGTTCCCTAAGGCTCTCTGCAGCTCACCCAACTCCAGCACGGCTCCCAAGAGGTGAGAGGCACCGGCTGGGCCGAAACACCCTCAGCCAAGCTCATCAGGAACAAAAATGACCCCATGCCCCATCATAAGTTGTGGGAGTCCTGTCTTGCACTGCTCACCCCCTGCAGCCAGCTGGTGCCCATGGGACCATGGTCGGTGCAAGGAACAAGGATGGCCTGACCGAGGCCCCCAAGTTTCCACCTGCTCAGGTCCTGTCCTGGTTCATGTCCCATGATGGTGTGGCAGGGACCAGCCCTACCTGCATGGGCAGCAAGCCCGGACCCCTGGGGGGGGCCCAGCCAGCCCAGCCTCAGCACTGGCACTGTGAGCACCGGTTACTGGAGAATTGCACTGTTTCACCCAGGGAAGCTGGGAGCCCAGGCTTTCCTAGAGCCACCACAGCATGCCCCAGAGCACAGAAGAAAGCAGGAATCAGTTGTGGGGGAGGACCACCTTCACTGCAGCAGTCTCTGTTGTTTTTCTGCTGGGTACAGCTGTGCCACCCCAAGAGCCAGCAGCTAGGTTAGCATGAAAAAACTAAGAGGGCAGGAGTTGAACATGTTTCTGTATCGGCTCCTGCCCACACGTGTCCATGGGGAAAAGATGAGTTGAATTTCCAAAGAAAGCAAAAAAAAAAAAAAAGCAGGTACATGCCAAAAGCACACAGGGCCTAGGACAGGTATTAAAGAGGAAATCTGTATCCCGCTGAGGCTGTCTCAAAATCATCCACATCAGCTGGGCAGTGCCTGCCATGTTGCTAAAAAAAAAAATAAAATTCAACCAAACCCACCAGCTCTACGTAATTTTAGGTTTACTACTTATATAATCCCCAGCCATAAGACACATTTCCCTGGAAACCCTCATCTTCCTGCCCACATGGAGTAGTCATGGGTAGCCTGTGAGCTGTGGCCTCAGAGGAACCCAGGAATAACTGTTGGGGCTCCCAATCAGACACTTACACCAGCCACGGTATCCCAGTGCTCTGGAAGGTGCCCACAAAGCCAGTAACCAGCTTCTGGTACTGGGATGTGAGGAACAATTAAATCACTAACTCCATCCCACGTGGCATGTCAGGATTTTCTGTTACGAGTGGTCCTGTCTTGCTCAGGACCTTGGCAGCGCCAATACCCACAGGTCCAAAGCACTGCATGTGGCACGCCAAGGTCAGGGCATCAGTAGGCATCCTGGGTTGCCTTAGGATGAAAGTTGCCAGCAGGTTAAGGAGGTGATCCTACCTCTCTAAATCCAGAGTGCCATGTCCAGTTCTGGGCTCCTCAGTACAAAAGAGACGTGGACATACTGGAGTGAGTCTAGCAATGGGCCCCTAAGATACTGGAGCATCTCTCATATGAGGAGAGGCTGAGAGCTACACTGTTCAACCTGGAGAAGGCTCAACAAGAGGCAGTGAGCACAAACTGAAACGTGAGAGTCCATCTAAAGACAAGAAAACACCTTTTTACTGGGAGGGTAGTCAAATTCAGGAACAGGTTGCCCAGAGAAGCTGAGTCGTCTCCAGCTGTGGAAATACTGAAAACCCAAATAGACACACTCCTGGTCTGCCTGTCCAGATGACCCTGCTTGAGCAGGACTAGACTAGATGATCAAGAGGTCCCTTCCAACCCAAACGATTCTGTGAGGAAAAAAAAAAACAAACAAACAACAAACACCAACATAAAAAAAATGGAGAGTGCACAGTGCAGCAGGGGGGGCTGGAACCCAAATCTGCCCTCAGACTGGTACATCACTACATATAACCTTCACCTTTGGGTGACCACCCCTGCAACAGCAAACTCTCCTATAACATTAAAATTAATTCAGCTGTGCTGATGGCATTGAAGGTGAAACAGAGTACTGCTGCAAGCAAAGCCACTCTATGGTGACATGCACTGTGCTTTTCAGGACATGAGAAAACACCCTGTATACACACTTTGTGGGAGGTGTGATAAATTGCTCAGGATTAGCACACAGAGTGACAAAGTGCTCAGCGTGGGAAGGAATTAAATAGCCCAAGGAGAAAGAGACAGCTTTATTTAAGGAATTGAAGTGAGGTCTGGAAGGATGAAGCCAGCAGTTGCCTGAGGAGCTGTGTTTCTGAGAAAGTGCAATTCAATCCTTCCTGGCATAACACTCTCAGAGAAAAGAGCTGCTGGGGCCAGCATGTTTGTGCCAACTGAGACAGGTCCCTCCCTGCTCTCCATCCAACCCAGCAGGGCTCTGACCAGTTCTACACTAGGTGCCTGTTCTTCCCCGATAAAGGAATCTTCCAAGAGCTGCAGAGTGCCAGCACAAGGATACTGGTAGAGGCTGCTGTCCTGGGTCTTTGCAGGAGTTCATACAACACCTCTTTTCCTAGGGTGAGCCAGAATAAACCAACAAAAAAAAAAAAAAAGCTTTAAGGTGCAGCTGGTCCTTTCCCCCAACACACTCTGATGCAGGGAGAACACAGTCCACTAGGCTTTACTCCAGCCACAGCCATGAGCGGTGATGCCCAAGCCAGCTTGAGTGTTACAGGGACTGGTCAGCACTGTCTGGTGGAGAGACCCATGAGTGTGACTGACCTGTTCCTCTTGTGAGAATAAGCCCAGGCACCACCCAGAGCAAACGTAACCTTGCTGTGCCCAGCAACTTCCCTCCATAAACAAAAGCAATGCCTGGCTTACAGTTAAGTCAAAGAGAATCAGATTCCAAAAAGAATCAGCCCTGGTGGATTGGTACCATGGTTTCGCTGGCTACATTGGAGCAGCTGCTTTCAACCAGCCTGAATGCCACTGTCCGACAAGCCACGGGCACCCACTGTCACTGACTGACGAACGTTGATCATGCAATGAGTAGTAACAGAGTTGCTCTGTTGGCACTGGACTGGGTTTTGAAGTTTCCTCTTTCACTGACAAGGCGAAGGCCAAGCAGGCTGCTTCACAGGTGCTCAGTTCTTCCATCGGATTTGCTAAAAGACAGAACGAGACATGATGAACATCAGCACTGAACACAGATCCCTCAGGGGCCAAGTTAGTGAGTCGCAATCCCTGACAAGAACAACTACGGCCAGAGAGTGCTATTTCTATCAGTTTCACCCTTCATTCCTACACTGAATGCAACCCCAAACATAAGATTAGCTTCCCAGCAGGGATAAAAAGAATGGAGGGCAGCCACCGCCCTTACACCTAATCTATGACCATTTCCAATGAGAGTCTCTGGAAGAGAAAGTAGGTGTTTCTTACCATGTTGTTGAGAATGCTGTTTATCTTCTCTTCGTCTGCAGAGCCTCGCTCCACCTTGCATTTATATGCTGTCAGCTGGATGCGATCCTTTAGATCCCTGTACGTCTAGATAAACAACAAAACCAGCACCCAGCCAAGTAAGGACACTTCATAGTTAGATGGTGCCCTGCAGATAAGCAGGGCAACTCTTCAATCCCCCCTCAAGTTCCCACCACAGCAGAATTCCACAGCACAAGTGCTAGGAGCCACTCTCCTGGCTCACTGGGAACCATATTGCTGCTCCCAGGCCACAGGGATAAACAACCCCCACCAGGCACACGAGAGCGGTGGCACAGGGCAGAGCACATGAAAGCTAGGGATGAAAAGCAGGCTCTTGTCCCACCTCTTCACATACACAGCAGGGACCTACCTCAATGACAACATCATGGCACTTGTATTTGGTGGCGAGGTTCAACCGTGTCTCCACATCCTCCACCAGGCGCACGTATGCCTGCAGCACCTGCGAGTGAAGGCGGGGAGCGTCTCAGCTCCCTTCTGCAGGTACCTCCTGCCTCGTTCTCTCACCCCAGTCACAAAACCTTTCAAGGCTGTTGGTCACACAGACTTGACCCCTTCCTTCCTAATGCAACAAGTGATCAGGACAAGACTGCTCAGGACCCCAGAGGCAGTAAAGCTTTGCTCACAAAGCTCAGAGTCCTGGGCTACCTCATTCCTATGGATCAGGTTAACCATTGCCAGTCAGATTAAGCGTAAGAAAAGTTAACGTAGCAAACAAAGGTGGCAATGCACTGGGGGGAGAGAGCTCCCAGATGACTCTAGGCCCACTGTCCCTCTTGCAGTTAGACCTAGGACCCAGCCCTCACTACCACCCACGCTTGCTGTTGATGCATGGGTCACTCAGCTGAGTGCTGTGCCCACCTGGCAGAGCCATCAGCTCAGCAAACTGTTCTCCCACTCCCAGATAGGAAGCAGCTCACTTG